ATGTGGATGAAAACTCTGAGAGGCAGGAGTTGTTTGAATTCATTGACTCAACAAACATTGACAGGGCCAGACTCTGTTCTAGATGCTAAGAATACACCAGTGAACACCGATGAGCCTGTTTCAGAGAGAGATCACAAGCATTGAGGTTGAAATAAACGTTTAGCTACAGTGCTGATTACTTGCTATAAAAGGAGAACAGTATTTCTTCCTCCCATTACCTCTCCAACCTGCCTAGATTTTTTTAAACTAAGGTTATAATGTTCATGTTCTGTTCAGAAACCATAAAATTCCTGGTTGTCAAGTCTAAACAGGTCTCAGCCTATTTGAGCCCAATTCCCATGTGGGTTTCTTTCCTTACCTTCTACCACACTAGGTTGTAGGAAATTGTGAGGCTGAATTCATATTTGCCTGGGTACCTCATTCAGCAAATTCTGCTTCTGTGGTTATTTAACATGGTAAAGTCTCTCCCAGCTGGTGTGGCTCAGTGGTTGGCGTCAACCCATGCACCAAGAGGTCGCCAGTTTGATTCCCAGTCAGGGCACATGCCCAGGTTATGGGCCAAATCCCCAGTGGGGGGCGTGCAGGAGGCAGCCAATCAATGTTTTCTCTCATCGAAGTTTCTATCCCTCTCTCCCTCTTCCTTCCTTTCTCTCCAAAATCAATAAAGGAAAAACAAAATTTTAACACAGTGAGGTCTCTCTGACACCCCAAAGCCATATATATGCCTGCCCAGACATAGCACTCAGCTTTGTACTTCCTGGGGTCTTGTGGCTTTAAGCCCTAACCAGGCTTAAAGTTCTGTTGATTTTCAAATCCCGCAAACTTAGGGTGATTGCTGTTGCCACCCCAGCACTCAGCACGTGGAGCAGTGACCCACAGAGACCCGTCCTCGGAGCCCCACGAGTACATACACTCTCGTCCCTCTGCCCTCCAGCATGGAGATCCGTTTCTCCTCCAGGGCTTCGAGCGCCTAGCTCTTCCCTTCCGAGATATTTTAGCCTCGTTAACTTCAGAGCTAGATTTTTGACACTGAAACGCCAAGAAGAAATCCCTCTTTTCTCTGGTATTTGCTGAAGCAGCCCTTTTCTGAGTTATAAACATCAATGAGCTGATTATTGAACATGAAAAAGAGCCAAGGAGGCCACTGAATGCTCCAAGGAGAAGGGAAGGTCATTGCTTCAATTTTCTGAATTATGTCACAACCACATTTTCCTCTGAAACTCGTCCCATGTCTCCCTTCTCTGCTTGATCACTGCATCCCTAGACAGCCTCCATGAGCCAGGCCCTTGCCTCAACTGCACGTACAAGGTACTTCTTGACTCTCTCCTGCCAGTTTTGGGATCTTGTCTTTGCCTGGGTATCGCGGCTTCCACACAGCTTCCACACACCTGCATGGTCTCCGAAGGAAGGTAAATCTATGTATCCTGTCTCTTCTCTCATCTCTCCACCTCGCTCACCCACCTCCCTCTTTCCCTCCATCTACCTCAAAAAATGGCCCTATTTTAAATTGCACTGTACTTTGTATGTGATAGTTACTGAAACATCAAGTTCCTTACTCTGTCTTACTCTGACTAGGAGGCTTCATATTTCTCTGCTTCAAAATTATATAGTTTTACTTCTGGTTAGAGCTCAAATGACGCTTTGTAATCATCCAGGATGCATCACATAAATATAAAAAGGTAGAAGTTATGAAGCAGATTAGAAGACGTGGAGGATAGGATACAAAGTTGCAATATTCGTGTAGTAGGAGTTAGAGTTACAGAATAGAGAACATGGGAAAGGAGGAAATAGTCGGAGAGATAATGGCTAAGAAATATCCAGTATTAAAGGTGTTACTTTCTATTTTCAAATATGGAGTTAATTACTTAAAATGTATTATTCAGTAACAAAAATTTTGCATGTTTATTTGCTTACACTTTCATAATCTATATTGTATATAGAAAGAGACCTTTATGTAGTAAATAGAGTGGAAACAACTTCTTGTAAAAGCTGATAAAATTAATTATAGTCGATCCCCCAAGAACAGACAAGTTCAAAGACATGTGTAGAGAGTTTAATCAGCAAGTTGAAAAATCAGAAATGCAACCATGTTATACATTACAATCTTCAAGTCTCTCAAGGGTTTGTTTTGTTTTTTTCACAAACAATAGGCACCCAATTTAAATGTGTAAGTTTTACCATGACTAAATTGTACAGTGAATTTTAAGTAACTAAATGGTCATGCACTCAGTTGACTTCGTATTAACAATCAGTATTAGAAAAAAGTCTGAATTTCCTATTAGAATCAACACAGAGGGTAAGTAACTTCCCAAATCTTCTCCATCCCTGTCCCCTGTATTGACATCATGGACAGACACTCAAATGTTAACAATAAATGATACTTGGGTTTTCATAAACAAAACGATATCATTAAATCATCATATACATATACTTAATATTTCCTTCATCCTAATGTGGGTTAATTCTGGAAATCATGTTAGAAAACAAAACTCTTAACAGTTGTTGTCATAATTATTCACAATTCTATAGTCAGTATTTTCAAAATGCTGTGAAAATACATGGTCATTATTTTGCATCATAACATTTATACACTTTGTGACATTTACTCTTTACATGTAGATGAGAAAGATCAGTTAGAAGACTCTTTGGCAATTTTGCACAAAGATTTAGATATGCTTTGGTATAAGAAAGTAGAGGATGGAGGTACCTTATCTCTCATTGAGAATACATTGCAGCCCGGCTAGTGTGGCTCAGGGGATTGAACGTCATCCCAGGGACTGAGAGGTCCTGGTTTGATTCCTAGTCAGGGCACATGCCCAGGTTGCAGGCTCCATCCCCAGTAGGGGGTGTGCAGAAGGCAGCCGATCGATGTTTCTCGCATCAATGTTTCTATCTCTCTCTCTCCAAGAAATCAATAAAAACATTATTTTAAAAAAAGAATACATTGCAAAACCCCATGACAGCCAGGAAGGAGAAAAAATTACTTAAATAACCTGATTTTGATTTCTAAAATTGAAAAATTCTGCACACATGTGCATTTATGATTATTAAATAAATAACAACAGTTCAAATTACACTCTCATAAAACAAATAAGATTGTCTTTCTAAGTATTAAAACTTATAGATTTACAAAATTCAATGTATGCTTACAAATATATTGATTTAAAAATAACATCTATATATATAAAATATATGAATATACTGTTAATTTAAATGTTATATATATCTCTGTTTTAGATAAATGTTACTTCCCATTTTTTTTATTTCTTAGTCTTTTCAATTGGCAACTGTAAGTTACAGAGCACGCTTACCTTAATATCAGAAAATAAGCAAAAAATATTTAATTATAAAATATTTTAATGTACTTAAATATTTCTGAAATTACTTTAAAACATTGGACAGCTGGTCCAAAAAAAAAACTCTAAACCATATCAAATGTGGGTACCACAGGAAATAAAAGTTATTGATAAAAGCTTTACCAAACTCTTAGTTAGAAACATAGCAAAATAAACACAATGAACTTTGAGACTGCTACTTGAAATGTTGAAACATGGAACAAAGCATATACTTAATAATTTCAGAACATTAAAGAATAATAGTAGTATTTACCTATGTAATTTAGCTCGTTAACAGGGTGAATATATTAGAAATTACTAGAAATCAAGATTTCTAAGCATATGTATCATTAAATTTAATTAATAACAAAGTAGTGGATGTTAAAAAAATTCAGCTTAATAGAACTCAGTATAATCATCTAACTCCATGGAGCTTAATAATTTTTAACCATTAAATGTCCTTGGATCACCAAGTGCATGAGTAGCTATGCTGAAGGTACTTGAGCCAGTATCAGACTCATGGGTATTTATAATGTATAGGCTGGAGCTTAGTGAACCAGGATGTGGGTTAGCATGATTCACTTGGGGTGTCTCAAGACAACAGTGTGAACAGGAAATTAGGAAGCAAGCAAAGGAAAAGTGCACAGCAGAACCAAAGTTGATAGGAAAGAAACCAGCAATGCAGAGAAGAACCAGAGCCGAACAAAGGAGACACAAGCAGCCAGTGGCCAGGAAATCTAGCCAACAAGCAATAGGCAGAAGAATAGAAGCACAGCACCAAGAAGACGCTGCTCACTGGACCCATGTTCTGTCCCAAACAGCATGTTCTTAATTACCACCTGCTTGGGCCAGAGCTGGTTCCAAGGTTACTATGTGCCCTGCAGTGACAGGGCTCAATGAGAAGCAAAGATACTCACAACACAGACCAGTCACCTCACTGCACCCTAAGAATAGACTAAGTAGTAGGAGGAAGAAAAGCTCTTTTCAATATTAATTATGATTTTCACAAACCTCCAAAGCTTATATGCTAGCACCAAAATCATGAAAACTATTTGTAATAATGCCTGAATTTAAGAATATGCCTTTGGCCCTGGCCGGTTTGGCTCGGCGGTTAGAGCATTGGTCTGCGGTCCAGAGAGCCCCTGGTTCGGTTCCCGCTCAGGGCGCGTACCTCGGTTGCTGTTTGTCCCTGGCCCTGGTTGGTCGTGCGGGTGGCAGCCACTCGATGTGTTCCTTTCATGTCGATGTTTCTCTCTTTCTCTCTTCCTCTCTCTCCCTCCCACTCTATCTGAACAAAATGTGGACAAATGTCCTAGGGTGAGGATAAAAAAATTTAAAAAATAGAATATGCTTTTGACCATCAAGGATGTGTATATGCGTGTACTAGCCTTTCGGCACATAAGGGGTCATCACTTTCACAACCATAGCTTCATGGAAATAAACAAGTGCAAGAGGGCAATGCTGGAACTCTGACCTGCACGGTGGCGGTGATGAATGAGTGTCATGAATGAGGACAGTCAGGGCACTGCTTTAAAATTTCATCTGCCGAAGGTTTCCCCAAAACACTCATGATAGACAAAAATTTATACATCGAAACATGATCGGATTATCTTAGAAAACAAAGAACTGGGACACTGTGTAAGGTCATCTAATACCACAGCTGCTTCACAGGTGAGTCCCACTGATCCTGCCGCTGTGATTTGTGAAGTTCAATTCCATGTGGTTGAAAGCAGGGTTATCAGTTCCGCCATCTTCTGCTGGATGAGACTTATAGCTTAAAACCTGCTCCTTCTAAAAGGAAATGTTAACATGGTGATTAGAAAAAAGAAACTGTTCATTCACTCGATTCTAAATAATGGTTACGACTTTTCTTTCTCTAAACCAGCTTTGGAGTCTGCTGGGGGAGACGTACAGCAAACCCCAATCAGGAAACAGGGCGAACCCTTCCCGTGCCCATCACGGCTCAGAAGAGCGTGAAGACCAGCTAGGAGTCTATCCAGGTGATATGAACAGTCTTACTAATTTGAGGGAGAAGAAACTTACTTTCTTAAAAATGTCAAAATTGGATAAAATGTCCTCTTTAGTTAATAGAAATCTGCGGTCCAAGTTTTGTTTTCTTCCTCCTGAAAAACATAGACATCATTTACAATGTTAAGAGGATACCAGTAATTACCCAGTGATGGTCCATCATACAGGCATTTCCCTTGTGCACATTTACTACACACTCAGAAGACACAAAAAGAAAGGGAATTTTTAAAATAGTGTTAGAGCCTGGCCAGTGTGGTTCAGTGGTTGAGCGTCGACCCATGTACCAAGAGGTCGCTGGTTCGATTCCCAGTCAGGGCACATGCCCAGGTTGTGGGCCCGATCCCCAGTAGGGGGCGTGCAAGAGGCAGTCAATTGATCTTCTTTCTGATCGATGTTTCTATCTCTCTTTCCCTCTCCCTTCCTTTTTAAATTAAAACAGTGCTGGAGATTCAGCACATGCTTTCCCTGCCTCAGGCTCCGATTCTGCAAGGCTCTCTCTGGGATCAGTCTGAGCCCAATGTTTAAAGATAAATGCCTCACCTGGTTCTCAACCAGAGACTGAGTCATCTGGCCCAGTGCTGGTCGAAAACAGGTTTAAAAGCATCCTTCATGATCTACCAATAAAATAGCAACCCACCTGCCTCTGCTTCAGAGGTGAAGTCACCCTTCTCCAGTTTGGTGGCTATGAATGTAGATGTGTGTAAAGAAACGCAGGAAATTATGAATAGCTGAATAAATTATTTAAATAAAAGCCAATATGATGATCGCTATTTGATACAATTTATCTTCCCTAAAGTTTTGCTTTGGTTTGGTATTTTATTTGTGGGTCGAGGAGGATGCTTTTAAAACCATGCACCTCAAAGAGTGGTTTCCAGACGATCTCTTCCCAAATCACCTGGGAGAAGTACTTAAAATGCAGATCACTGGACTTCAACTTGGACCGACCCTATTAGAAGCTCTGGGGTGCGGCCCCTGAATTCTGACTTTTACCAAATTTCCAAAGTGATCATTATGCCCTCAAATGTTTGAGAAGCACCAGTTTAGTAAAAAATACTGGATTTTTAATTATGGAAACCTCAACTAGTCACAAGATGAGATCAACTGTAAATTAACTCAGTCAACATCGTTGAGCCACGTGCTAGAGACTGTTAGGTGCGGGGAGACAGAGAGAGTAAAACCATCGCTGCACTCAGCTCGCCGTCTGCTCGGGGACTGTTTGCCCATCTTTCTGCTGAAGAAACATACGCATGGAGCACAGTACATGGTTAGGTGAAGCTGAAACACCCACCACGTCTGTCTGGCCTGGATTCTTACAGATTCCTAGTATCCTATGGTAGACTTTTTTTTTTATCCTCACCCGAGGACATTTTTTCATTTTTTTTGTTCAGATAGAGCAGGAGGGAGAGAGAGGAAGAGAGAGAAACATCGACGTGAAAGGGACACATCGAGTGGTTGCCACCCGCACAACCCCACCAGGGCCAGGGACAAACTGCAACCAAAGTACATGCCCTTAGCGGGAACCAAACCCAAGTCTCTCTGGACCACAGGCCGATGCTCTAACCGCTGAGCCAAACAGGCCAGGGTGATTTTTAAATGAATTTTCCAAGGAGCATCAGAATTTTATGTTTCTAGACTTTTTCCCCAAGGTGCTCACTGCTGTTGTAGAGTAGAAATAAGACATGTATGAAATTCATAAAGTTGAAGTGTTGTGGTTGTTTTATCACTGGGTGCCTATTCACCTGGAGAAAACGTTACTTTTTATTTTTTAAATTTTATTATTATTATTTTTTCATCCTCACCCGAGGGTATTTTTTTCCCATTTATCTTCAGAGAGAGAGAGAGAAACATCGATGTGAGAGAGACACATCGACTGGTTGCCTCCCACACAACCCGGACCAGGGCCGGGACCCAACCGCAACCTAGGTATGTGCCCTTGACCGGAATCGAACCCTTGACTCTCTGGTCTGTGGGCCAACAGAGAGCATTGCTTTTTAAAACAAAATATATAGGTGTTGTATATGGTTATCAGAATCAAAGCATTTAAAGAAAAAAAAGGATTACTCCAATATCTCATACTTAAAGAAAAAAAAAATGGGTTAGGTAAGGACCAAAGTTTTGGTAGCACAAGAGGATCGGTCCGCTCTATTCCAGATCTGAACAACTGGGTTACTGGCAAGAAAAGTTTAAAATGTCTTATATTCAGGGTGGGGCAAAAGTAAGTTTACAGTTGCTCATATGAAAAATCATATAATGATTGATAAATAGTAATACAAGCATAAACTGTTTCATGTACTCATAGCTGTAAACCTACTTTTGCCCCATCCTGTATATCAAAACAGACAAGAGAATAAACCTCCTGTGCCGTTCATTTTATTTATGAGAAAAAGCACAGTCCTTTTCGAAAAGAAAGAGAATAATTTAGAACTGATAAGAAGTAACAAATAGCTACAAACTTATTATGCATGGGTAATAATTATATATTGTAATATGTAACAATTATATTATAATTACTGATATAATCATATTAATTTCACCAGTAATTATTAAGTTAATGTATTCATTCCAAATACAGGTATCAGAAGTTTGGAAGACAAGCTGCATAAAACAACGATGCAGTATGCTAAGCGAAATAAGCCAATCAGAGAAAGACAGATACCACATGATCTCACTTATTTGTGGAAGATAATGAACAAGGTGGGCTGATGAACGAAATAGACCCAGAGACATAGAAAAGAGTATGGTTCAGACTGACAAACCTCAGAGGAGGGGGCGGGGGGGCGGGGAATGAGATGAACCAAAGAACTTATATGCATGTATGCGTAACCAATGGACACAGACAACAATGCTGGGGGTGGGGCAGGATGGAGTGGAGGGGGTCTAGGGGGGAAAAAGGAGAAACATCTGTAACAAAAAATAAATTAATAAAAATTGAAGAAAAAAATTTTTAATAAATAAAGTGAATTAAAAAAACAACAACAAAAAATGATGGACAGAAGGGTTCCTTAAAGAGTCCCAGTGCTGGTAGCTTTGCAGCGTGAAGCAAAGACATCCTGCATCCTTGGACAGAGTGCGGACTTTCTGACTAGTTATGACACATCTGATACAGAGGGCAGTGGAGCTGACCCCTAGTTCGGCTGCCGTGGTGCCTGTGTGTGAGGGGTGTAGGAAATGTGAGCCTGGCACTCTCTACCAACTCCGCTGCTACCCGGTCCGAGCCGCTGGGATCGCTCACCTGGTTTCCGTGACAGCCTCCTACCTGTCCTCCTCCCCTTACAGACTAATCCTGAGGCTGGGTCAGAGTGCTCCTCTGAGAATCACTGGCAAAGTAATTGAAAAAATACCCCATGAAGCAGACCTAAGAAGCACAAAGATGGAAAATAGGAGAGAAAAGGTAAGAAAATTAGAACTGTCCAAGACTCAAACATTTCACCAGCAGGAGTTTCCAGAAAGAGAAAACAGAAAATAGCAGGAAATTACAAAAGCAATAGTCTAGGAAATGCCCCAGAACTGAAGGACACGGGTCTTCAGACTGAAAGGACCCCACAGAAGGCCTCGGCAGGGCAGTCATTGTGGAATGGGTCCCCTGCAAAGGCTCAGCAGATACATGGTTGGCACTCTCAGCAGGAACAAAGTAAACTCGAAGACAATGAAGACATCCTCTCCGAAACAAGAACGTTATTTTCAGCCTGGGATTCTCTACTGAAACAATCATTCAAATATAAGGGAGAACTGAAGACATTTTTTTTCAGAGCTGCATCGTTTCCAAAATCTCTTCTCCTTCAGTGAAGGGCAAACAAGAATTAGGAGTGATGGAATGCGGACAGCAGGAATGCTAACCCAGGGGGGAGCCAGGGGATTCATGAGTGAGGACAGATTGAAGTCCCAGGATAACAGTTCCAAAGCACTCCAAGAGGGCAGTGTATACTAAGTGTATGATCAATTTTATTTTTTTTAATTATTTTTTGAAGTTTATGAACATCTGAAAATAGCCTTCACACACTGTTTACCTACTTCTTCACAGTTTACAAAGGTCAGTATGAGACAATGACACAGGGTGGTTGTAACAAGATATGAAAAATTCTTAGCATTGTGGTAGCTATACATGCTTTCTTTCAAGCATTTTCTTTTTGTCTTAAAGCACCCTGTGAGATAGGCAGGTCGATTATTATTATTCTAATTTAACACAAAAGATCCCCAAGGCTCAGAGTAGCTATAGAGACTTCTCCAAGTTCATGCAGCTAGTAATGGCAAAACAAAGATTCAAACAGAGATGAGTCTTCTGCTTTCAAGTTTCCCATGAGTAAAATGGAACAAACAATTAAATTAGCTGTGAACAGACTATAGTAAAATAACGTAAATAGCTATAAAACAGATACAGTAAAAACTGATGTAGAGGTAAGTAAATACAACAATACTAATGTTTAGATAGTTACCTGTTAGTAAACTGATAAGCATTCCCACAAATAATGTTACCAAAGTTCCCAGGGTGCTGAAGTATAGATATGATAAAGAATACCAGTTATCCATCAGCGGGGTCCTAAGGGAGAGCAAAGTGTAACTGTAAGATTCCATGTAATGCTACTGGCAACTAAGAGTGTCAATAATCCTCTTGGCAAAGTCAAAATATAAGAGTTAATAATGATTTAAATATCACAATCTGCTGTTCCAATTCTATTTTATTCGATCAGGAATTAAAAGTATGACTTAACCTTGACCCTATACTATAATACTAAATGTCCATGTCTAGCCATTCAACTCTGATTGATATTCCAAGCACTGTTCTTGTCTTTGGAAAGTCTATCAATAAAAAGGTAGATAAGGTTCCTCCCACTTACCTTTCCATTAGTCTGTTCTTCCTGTCTGAGTCTCTTTAATGGCATCTGGATACGCCTCTCATTAGTGCTTTCATGGTCGCCCAGACTGCTCCCTGCATTTCCACCCCCTTTCCACACAGCAGCTCACCTCGTCGAACCCCTCTGAATGTGCCCCGGGCGCAGGAACTACCTTTAGTCTCTACCCATACAGAGTCCCAGCCTTGAACTCCTACTGACAAACATTCTCGTAGGCGAGTCCCCTCCAGGACATGAATCACCAACGATGGTCACATTACTCCTCTCAGGAGTATTCCATCTTAAGAGAGATCCATGCTTTGACCCAAGGGAGTGATTCTCCGGTGGTCACATTACTCCTCTCAGGAGTATTCCATTCTAAGAGAGATCCATGCTTTGACCCAAGGGAGTGATTCTCCGGTGGTCACATTACTCCTCTCAGGAGTATTCCATCTTAAGAGAGATCCATGCTTTGACCCAAGGGAATGATTCTCCGGTGGTTTCCTGCAAGGCGAGCTGGAACCAGGTCAATTCTTTGGGGGCAGCGGCCTCATCTTTCCAGGCCTTGAACATGACCACACGGTCTGTGCTTTCAAGCTAGACATTTACACAACTCACCCTCAAACAATGTGCGCAGTCAAAAATCTGTGAAGGGGGTAGGGGCGGGGGGATGGGAAGAGATAAACCAAAGAACTTCTATGCATATATGCATAACCAACCGACACAGACAATAGTGCGGTGAAGGTTGGGGGGGGCGGAGCGGGGAGGAGGAGGGGGTGGTCAATGGGAGAAAAAAGGAGGGACAGCTGTAATACTTTCAACAATAAAGATACATTTTTTTAAAAAATCTGTGTGTAACTCTTGACTCCCCCAACACAGAACTCTAATAGCCTCACCAATGACATAAAGTCAATGAACACACATTTTGTATGTTATATGTATTACACATTGTATTCTTATAATAAAGTAAGCTAAAGAAAAGAATATATTCATAAAATCACAAGGAAGAGAAAACACATTTACTGTACTGTGTGTATTCACTGAAAAAAATCTGTGTTTGTGGAACGGCACAGTTCAAACGTGTGTTGGTCAAGGGTCGACTGTGTACCCACTAAACAAAGCCTTGCCCTTCACATCCTCCATACAATAAAACACTCATCCACCAACAGGTCTTCATCATTTCATTAAATCAGACAACGTCAGTATCCGGAGGCTCCAACGTGCATGCTGTAAACTCCAGCTGAAGGTCTCAGGGGCAACCCACAGCTAGTGCTCTAAAGATCTGGAATCTTTAAACCTGAACAAACAGCATCTCCCACCACATTCAGATAACTGTAGCTTTTTGTCAGTAAGGGCTGTAGTAGGTAAAGACTATGTAAGTAACGTTTTTGTTCAGAGTTGAGCTTCTCATTTCAAAAGATTTTCAGTTGACAAAGACAATGTTTCATTCAACTCGAGCTGGTGTTTCATAGCATTTAACGTATAATGGAATTTTTGTAGTTATTGTTGTTGTTATTCAAGCCTTCTCCTGATCTCTAGGTGAGACCAAAGTTTTTATAGAAACTAAGAAAATGCTGCATTGTTTTTTGGCTATTTCTGAACAAAATATTGTAGCCAGAAAGCCACAGGGGCTCTCCGTACTCGTTTCAGAATGAGGCAAAAATCATCGTGTTGCAGGCAAGACAGAAAGCAACTAGGGTCTCTCCCTGTCACATATCTTTTTAAAATTATGACATTATAAGGCTTAAGTCCACACCTGTCGGCGCTGTGTCCTTGGAAAGCACTCGTAGAAAACGGCATTTCTGTGGTCGTTGTCCAGTTTGCCCCGTGCGTAATGTTACAGCCGTACGTTTCCAGGCTCAGCGGCATGGTTCTCTCCGGGAGTGGAGGATAAAGTTGAGCTCCAATCCCAACCCAGAAAGAAGCCACAAATCCGGCCAGCAGACCAGTAAATGCTCCCTGCAAAACAAGAGTGGTTTTATTATTTATTTATTTATTTTTTATCCTCACCCAAGGACATCTTTCAATATTTTGTTCAGATAGAGTGGGAGGGAGAAAGAGAGAGAGAAACATTGACGTGAAAGGGACACATCGAGTGGTCGCCACCCGCACGACCAACCAGGGCCGGGGATAAACTGCAACCGAGGTACATGCCCTTAGCGGGAACCGAACCGGGGTCTCTCTGGACCTCAGGCCAACGCTCTAACTGCTCAGCCAAACCGGCAAGGGCCAAGAGTGGTTTTAAAAAAATAATAATACAGTGTGTTTTGAGATGGAAATTCACATTAGAGGTTAAGTTCGACATGGTCTAAGCCAAATTTACCAGCTTCCTCCTAAAACTGTTCCTCCTTACAAGATCCCTACGTGCGGCCAAGGGCAGCATGGGCCCCATTCCCTTTCTTCAGATCCCTTTCTAGTCGATCACCAATGTCTGCCCATTTTTCTTTTCACGTGTCTCATACTTGCATTGTCCCCACTCCGTTTCCATGTCCAGCACTCTGCTCTGGCCTTCTGGTCTCTTCACACCCAGGTAACTACAACAGGACCACGGCTGACTCCAGGCCAACTCCTTTTTTATTTAATCTGTGAGCACATGCGTACCATATGAGCCACAGACTGTGCACATACGGAGTGTGTTCCTATATTCGACCCGGTACATGGCTGCAACTGTGCTGCAGGGGATTTGGGGGAAAACAGCCAGCAGTTCTCACAAATGACTGCAGTGGTCCATACAACCGAACCAAATATTTCTAGAGAGAAATGGAGATGTCCTCTCTGAAGACACTTGCTTTCCCAGTCAGTGGAAGACTTGGGTCCTCCGCCCCTGCTTTTCAGCAGTAACCCAGGTGTCCCACCAGCCACTGCATGATTTCAGCCCTTGTCCCAAGTGATGGGGACAAAAGCAAGCCTGGAGCTGGGGAGCTCCTCCCTCTGTGGTGGAATTTCCCCCCTTCTTTAAAAATAATGACCAGCCTGTGCCTAGGCTCCGTGTGGGGAGGACAGGGGAGAATACTTGAAGAAAGGGGGAAATCACAAGCAAGATCATAGGCTAGAAAAAACAGCTGTGTGTTGTCAGGAGGCTGCTGACCAGAGCAGAGGATTAATGTTGGGGACAAGGACTGTGAGTCCTTTCGTTAAGCTGTGAACCCCAGAAAGCAGATTAGGTTCCTTATTTTTAAAAATATGTTTTTATTGAATTTTTTTTAGAGAGAGATAGAAACATCGATGTGAGAAACATTGATTGACTGCCTCCTGCACGCCCCCTACTGGGAATCGAGCCCACAACCCGGGCAAGTGCCCTGACCGGGAATCGAAGTGGAACCTTTCAGTCCATGGGACGACGCTCAATCCACTGAGCCACGCCAGCTGGACAGTTTCTTTATTTTTGATGCCCTAACACCTATCACACTATTGGACATATTATAGGCACAGAATAAATATTTTTTTAATAATAAGAAGTAGGGTGGCCAGTGTTGACAGGCCAGACTTGTTCCCTCTCAGCATTGTACACGACTCAGCCAAGGACACACAAAACTATAAAACCCATGTGGGCAGAAATATCCAGTGCTCTCTACTCCCAGCACAGTTCTCAGCCCATACATTCGCTGAATAAATGAATGGGAGGATACAAAAGAAGGAGGAAGGGAAGGTGGGAAGGAAGAAGTCCATTCCAGGGTAAGGGTATATATTCTGCTGCTGAAAAATGTGGATATAGTAAAAAAGAGGTACTTTTTTATTTTAAAAAAATATCGTTTTATAAAAGATACTAGTATCTTATTTCTCTGGAAAAAAAACATGTTGGACCTAGTCATGTACAGCTTTTCTGGAGTCAATTCATGGTGAAAATAAATGTCAAAACCCAAAAAGCAGCCTTTTAAAAATTTTTCAGACACCCAACAAATCACTATACATTTCATAATGCAAAGAGTCTAATCAAAGCTTTAACATTCTGAGGGTAGGCACAAACCACTTTCTTTCATTATAATTAATTTCTGCCAAGCTAGCTTTCCATATGATACTTCACTGAGAATAATTAATAATGATGACAGTAAAGCCCTTATTAGTATCTACCTTACTAAATCCTAACACATTTTGGAGAAAATGGAACTGTCAGTGTAAAGTCATTGTTCTGTGGTCATTCTCCATCTGTCTGAAACGACCCTGTACATTGTCAGTTTTTTCCGAACTTCTTCCTATGGAAGACTGAACCAGTGGACTTTTGCCTGGCTTTCAGATATATAATTTCAATTTCATTTATTCCAAACAAAATGTAGTTCTTCAAAGCACAGATATACTGATGCAGAAGAGCACAGCTGCTCCCTCTTCTGAAGACTGTTCTCAGTTATGACCACCCCTTTGGGGCCAGAACCATGTTGTTGGATCTACAGCTTTAAATGTCCGGAGGAGAAACTGTCTGGTCAAGTTGGTGTAGACCTCATTGATCCTCTTTGCTGTACTCTAGATATTCACAGGTATCCTCAGCTCTACTGTCCTTAAATCTCTCATATCTGAGCCTGTCACTGTCCTTTAATTGCTAGTGATTAATTTTCAAGAAGGAAAAGACAATGAATGCACAAGAAATGTTGCCCCTTAGCTATATTATGAATATTTGAAATTGCCATATATCATTGGGCAGTTTCCATTGAGCCTCACAAAGGCAGGGTCCCGGTGGATAGTACTTCATCGTACACCCCAGCAAAGTTGCTATGAGTAATCTAAGTCCTTGAGACAAGTCACTGATGATGGATAGCATGGAACCACAGTTTACAACTGAGAAAAGAACTGTAAAGCTGCTGCTGTATTTTGAAAAGAAAGCTTTACACATATTCATTCTTTATACTTACAATTGAGTTGGCGAAGGGAACCAAAATGCCCAAAGAAAATAAGCCTAGAAGTGGTCCACCGATCATGCCAATTATGCTGAGTGCTGCCTATGGAAATAATATAAAGTCAGCAATTAGAAATCTCAAATCCAGAGTTAAAATGTTTCAAAGTAATTTCATCAGGATGAGGATTTAAAGTGTTCAGGCTCCTCCCCAGAAACATGGCAACCCTGTTGTTGGCAAAGAGATCAGTAGAACTTGAAAGCTTCTGCTTTTTTTTTTTTTCATTTGAATGTATTGGGGTGACACTGGTTAATAAAATTATATAGGCTTCAGGTGTACAATCCTATAACACATCATCTGTGTACTATATTGTGTGTTCACCACTCCAGTCGAGTTCCTTCCACAACCATTTATGCCCCTTTAGCCCTCTTCTACCTCTCCTCTCCCCCCTTCCCTCTGGCCATCACCATACTGTTGTCTGTGTCCATGAGTCTTTCTTTTTTTCTTTGCTTGATCCCTTCACTCATCTCACCCAGACCCCATCCCCCTCCTCCCCAACAGCTGTCAGTATGTTCTCTGTATCCGTGAGTCTGTCTCCACTATGTTAGTTTATTTTGTTCATTCGATTCCACATATAAGTGAAATCATATGGTATTTGTCTTTCTCTGACTGGCTTACTTCACTTAGCGTAATACTTTCTAGGTCCATCCATGCTGTTGCAAAAGGCAAGATTTCCTTATTATGGCTGAGTAGTATTCCATTTTGTAAGTGTACCACAGTTTTTTTATCCACTCATCTATACTTGGGCACTTGGGCTGGGAAGCTTCTGCTTCTTAGTCTCAAGTATCCACATGCTACTTCAGGTATCCTCAATAAGGGAAGCAAAATATAAGGGGGGCGGAGACTCGTGTGACAGTGGAACACCCACATGCATGCAAACATCAAGAATGACACCACCCCTCCCAGTGGTGGTCTCGCAGACCTTAATAATCAATCACATCACTCCTTTGTGCTTTGATAGTCTCAAAATCCTCCTCAAAACAAGACTGTAGATAAGTACTGCTAAGTGATCACAAACAGCAAAGAAACCCAATGCCACCCTAGGTTCCCTAAGTATGGAACTAGAATAAAAAATATGATTAAAAAAAGACTGATCAAGTCATGTAGAAAGAGATTTAAAATTTAATAGACTAATCATTGATGTATAGATTCCAAAATCATGATAGTGAAAGAATACATTGTGGTCCGGCTGGTGGGGTTCAGTGGTTGAATGTCAGCCCATGCACCAAGACATTGTCAGTTCAGCTCCTGGTCAGGGCACATGCTCGGGTTGCGGGCTCAATCCCCAGTGAGGGGCATGTAGGAGGCGGCCAATCGATGTTTCTCTCTCATTGATGTTTCTATCTCTCTTCCCCCTCCCTTCCTCTCTCTCTAAAAATCAATAAAAACATATTTTTAAAAATTAAAAAAAAAAAGGAATATACAGTGTGATGAATGAAAAAATGCAACTAGCTGGAACCTCCAAGTGATCTGTCTTCCCAATAATCAAGTAGCTAGATATTAAAAGTGGATAGACCCATCAAAGAACCATCAGGGACACATTAATTTGTCCACAGGAAAAAGCCCACCTTATGAATTAGGGAAGTTCTGTGGATACTGTGACAGAGAACATGTTTGAGGAGGCTGTGGACGCATAATATCATCCTAAGGAGTTAGTTCACACTTTTCTCAAAGCCAATCTTAATATTTTTGTTTATCCTCACCCGAGGACATTTTTGCATTTATCTTCAGATAGAGCAGGAGGGAGAGAGGGAGGAAGAGAGAGAGAGAAACATCGATGTGATACATCGACTGGTTGCCACCCACACGACCCCAACCGGGCCGTGGACAAACTGCAACCGAGGTACATGCCCTTAGCGGGAACCAAACCCGGGTCTCTCTAGTCCGTGGGCTGACACTCTAACTGCTGAGCCAAACCGGCCAGGGCAAAGCCAATCTTAAAATGATACATACTGTATGATTCCATTTCTGTAACATTCTTGACATGGCAAAATTACAGGAAAGGACAACAGAGTAGTGGTTGCCAGGGGTTAAGGAGGAAGTAAGGGTGGGAGGGAAGTGGGTGTGGCTACAGAAGGGCGGACAAGGGATCCTTGTGGTGACGGAAATGTTCCATCTCTTGACTGTATCACTGTCAATATCCTGGTTGTGATGTTGTACTCCTGTTTTGTGAGATGTTACCACTGAAGAAAAGCCGGCAAAGCGTGTACGAGATCTCTCTATGACTGCTTATACGTCATTGCATGTAAATCTACAATTATCTCAAGATAGAAAGCATAATTTTAAAAAAATGTTGATAAGAATTTAGCCATCTTTGTTCCTTGATACGTCTATGTGGAAATAGATAATAAGAGAAGTCGGGAAGGATGGTCACATCAGCGTTAACAATAACAAGTGAGTGTGACCCAGAGCTTCGAGGGTCAGCTCTTACCTGCAGCAAAGCGCCCATCAGCGAGGCCAGAGCAGCCATCCCGATGCACAGGACTCCGAACAGCACACCTAGGCAGAGGACGCAAAGCCTTGTGAAGTCCACCCAGAGGGTCAGCATTCTCAACAGAACAAGCTACCACACCTCTGATTCGAAGTGGGTGAGAAGGTGGTGAAGAATGCCCACACGCAGCAGGGACAGCTGAAGAAAGAAAAGCGGTGTGTTCCTACAGAACCAGCAGTGTGTGAAGAGGAAAGAAAATCCTGACATTGTGTCCAAGGATCAATTACAGCATTAAGTTATGTAAGTATAGAATCCCTAGAATTAACTATAGGGATTTTAAAGCTAAAAAGTATTGTGTTATTAATCTAATCTAATCCTCCATCAACATTTTTTCATATATATATAAAGGAAGGCTCAGGTCTCTGTTTTCAGTTTGCCAAAAAATAGGATACAATTCAACTCTGCTCTGTACAACGTGGTGGGGGAGGGGACTAATAAATATCAGAAATTAGAGTCTTCTGACTTTAAGTGTTCATGTCTTCTGGGAAGTGGCAGTCCACACAGAGAGGTGGTTGAGGACTTTAAGCCCAAGCCTTTTCTGTTGAGCCAGCAAAGAAAGGCAGCTTCAACACAAATATCATATTTTCCTTTCTTGTAAATTTTCCCCCAAAACACGCCTATAGAAATTCTCAAGCCACCACTGGTGGTTAGATAATAATTTTTTTTTTTTTTTTTGGCTTTCAGTATTTTCCAGATTTTCTTTCAAGTTCATGTTTCACTATTTAAATTTTAGAGAAATTTACCCTGCCCCCAATTTTATTTGTCAAAACTTCCATTCAGCAAAAATTGCCTGAAGTCTGTCAATATAATTTCTCACACATGAAATTCAAATTATAGAAAAATGAATGAGAAATGTGCTCGTCAGAAAATTAGTGCATCCCTTGTACTATGTTACTCCTATTTTACATACACTAACCCTCACATCTTTGTCAAGTATATTGGTAAATAATCTATTGCACCGAAATGGAAAACCTTACATTAATTTTTTTGCAAAGAGCTCTTATTGCCATGACTTTTTATGCCTCTGCATGCTAATATAAATAGTATTAGTTTGATTCTTTTCCATCTGATAGCTCAAGAATTGTCACCATTGTGGATTTTGGTATTCAAAGTTTTTGAAGACACAGTCGATCATCTCTACGAAGCCCTTACCGGAAATACCTTGAGAAAATAGAAATCTCATTATTAATCAGCAGCAGCAGCATCCTTTTTTGAGCACCAGCTAGTAGCTCTTGTTTTATGTGCACTATCTCTAAACCTCATAGTATCCCTACAAGGTGAATATTTTTTCCTGTTTTCCATATAAAGAAACAGATACTCAAGCCTAATAGCAAGTAAATTGGCAAAGCAGGTTGGGTTTGTCTGGCTTCAAAAGCTTCTACTAAGTGCTTGTCCCAAACTATAGTCATGGCAATTACATATAGAAGTATGGCTCAAAATAGGCTATTACTTATCATTTCTTTGACAGTCTGTTAGTGTTACTGTGCTAAGATTAAAGATTCTTTTTTTTTCTTTTTAATCGTTAGTCATTCATTCTAAAACAAGTATACCCAGATGTCAAAATGCACAATGAAGCACACCAGGCAGATTTCTTTGAGTCAGATATTACATGTGAGTCATCTGGGAACTGAAAACCTTTAAACTTTTCCATTCAAGCTAATCTTTAACCCCTAATCAGGTTCTGTAATCTAAAAACTGAGCTTGAACATTCCTTGCACAATTTTATAGGCCATCTTCAGGACACTCTATGTGTGTGGATGCAGACAATCAAGTCGGGTCAAAAGTCACATAATGCTCTGTTTATCTTCAATTCATGCACATGACTATCACCTTGAACTGACAGCTCCTTCTTAGGTCACATAGAGAAAGTGTGGCTCTTGGTTCCAAACCAGGATATTTCTTAAAATTTTGGTCTAAAGTTGAAAAGGAAAAGGGTCACTTTTTTTTCTCCCCCCCTATAGCTAAGATTTTAACAAACTTGGGTTAGGAAATAGTTCTTTGTGATTCCTGACAATGACTTGTTTCGCATGTCTCCCAATTCTTGGTGGCAAATAGGTCACAGGCACACATATGTGTATATGTTTACACTCAGAGGTATCTTCCATCGGAAACAATATCTCTAGAAATCATCTCACAGAGCCTAAAAAAGGGAATTGTGACCATGGAAACTTACTCATTCCTTGGGAAATCCAAGAGAGAGATCTCTCTGAGAGCGAGCTGAAGTTAGGTTTGACTAGGTCTTCCACAGTTACGGCTGCCAGGGCATTAATACTGGAGGACACTGTGCTGTAAGGGAAAGGAAAACTCTTGATTTATAATATGGAAACTTTAATGATACTTTAAGTGGGAATGGAAAAGGAGAAAACAATTTGTTACTTCTGAAACATAACCAGATGTCTACTATATTATTTGCAATGATCGCAGCATCCTCTTTCTGGAAGCTGTGATGCAAGAATGACTCAGGCAATGTTCACAGACTTAGTAGTGGAAAGAGATCATTTAATGTTGCTTCCATGTCCAAACTAATCCTCAGTGTCTATGAAAAGAATCTACATAGATTATGTAGTATTGTTATATAATGACTTCAAAACATACTTTTCTTTGTGCATAGGACTGTCACAAGTCCTCACTAACATATGCTGTAGTTGGTTAATAATAAGAATTCCCTGGGGCCATTAAGACATACAAATTGGTTGTTAGGCTGATGAACCTCAAAGGGAAGGGGGGAGGGAGGGCAGGATGAGATAAACCAAAGAACTTCTATGCATATACGCATAACCAATGGACACAGACAATAGTGTGGGAACGGCAGGAAGGGGGCAGAATTGGGGAGGAGGGGTCAATGGGGAAAAGGGGGGGGGGTCATCTGTAATACATTCAACAATAAAGACGAGTTTTAAAAAAAGAAAAAAGAATTCCCTGGAGCAAACACAGAAAGAAAGTGCATTGAATGTGTTCAAATATAGCATATATTATTCAGCATGTAACTAGGAAATTTGAATTCTAATTTTCCATTTGACCACACTTTAGCCACAAATATATATTAAACCAAGACTGTAGGCAGGCATTTTTGATAATTAGTGAATGCTGCCATCACTGATCACCATTATTGTGACCCTGTAGGGTACAAGGTAGTGTGTTAGATAGTGGGGATCATGCTGACAGTGGAGACTGATGATAAGAGACTCCTAGCCCACAGAGATAGGGTCGGACCACCAGAGGATACGGGAGTGGACTGCCTCCTTTGGGCATCTGTACCCATGTCAGAATTCAGCTTGGTCCCCACAAATATCCAATAAAACAAGAAACATCTCAACAGGGTCACCCCGTTTTGTGAGAGTCATAGTACACACCTTAACGTTCCACTGTAAGCACAGGCCACAAAAAGTCCGGGAAGCCCTGGATAGTCTTGCAGAATGTCCAGTACCAAATAGGGCATGAGCTGAAAAAGTCCAAAATTCACTCCTGAGGACTGTGTGCTACCAAATACAATGAACAATACCTCATGTATCTTGTGTTTTTCAAGAACTAAAGGCAGCTCTTCCACAAGACTGAAATGTCCAGATACCCCAAATTAAACTTTGTAATTGCTAAGACTTAAAGAAAAGAAGAGCATAGTGGTTAAAGATGCAGGTTCAGCATTCCGACAGATGTGGCTATTTTTACTTAATTTCTCTGAATCTCGGTTTCCTCATCTGTAAAATAAGGGTGAATAATACTAACCTCATAGAGTCGCCATAAAAGTTAAATTAGATAATCTATGTAAAGCTGTTAGGACAGTATATAGAATATAGTAAATGCCTAATAAAAGGTAGCTATCCTCATTCTTTGACATAATAAATCTATTTAAAGAAAATATTTTACACACTTCTGTGCTTAAGTAAGCAGCATCTACTTAACTTTACTTGATGACTCAAGGCTATCCTTGCAAACTTCAATCACAACCCAGGACTGAAAGTGTACTTATAGCTGCGTGAGACAAGAGACATAGTGACAAAGTAGAGAGTGATGTCAGTAAATTCCTGGCACTTGCTTCTTTTTAAAAAGTTCCTGATGTCCTGGCTAGTTTGCTCAGTGGTTAGAGCACTGGCCCTCAGAGCAAGGAGTTGCAGGTTCGATTCAGGTCAAGGGCACATATCTCGGTTGCAGCTCGTCCCCAGCTCTGGTAAAGTCATGCAGGAGGCAACCAGTCGATGTGTCTCTCACATCAATGTTTCTCTCTCTCTCTCTCTCTCCCTTTCTCCCTTTCTCACCCTCTAAAATCAATAAGCATGTCCGTGGGTGAAAATTCATTTTAAAAAAAAGTTCCTGATACCAACTTGCTTTTTTGATAAATTACTTTTGAAAAGATATGACTTCAGCACTGTGTTATATGGCAGACTTTCAGCGTAATTGATTTTTAAATCGAAAGGGGCCTAAGTGAATCATTTTCCAGGAAAAAAAAAAATGTCCTCTCATTTGCATTGAAACATTATTGATTCTTTTCCCCCATATTACAGAGTGGATGACAGTCCCTACCTTATCAGACTCTCTGATTTTATTCAACAAAGATCTGTGGATGGGACATGAAAGATCATCCTCCCCTGTCCTAAGGGGCTGTATTGAATTCTTTCAGCAACGCTTCCTCCATGTTCTCCAAAGCTTACTAGCTTTTTATCCATAGAAAAGGAGAATAGCACATTTCTCTATATGAAATTAAGACCCAATTTTTCTAAGATAACTTAAAAAGTTTAACTTCAAGCAATAGTCTCTACATAAGCAAAAGTAAAGTGTCTACTGTTAGTATTATAATGAGACTGAAAATCCTCTACTCAGTCATTAACTTTACTCAAAATCTTTTTTTTTTTTTTTTTTGTACGTGCCCCTAGTGGGAACTGAACCCGGGACTCTCTAGTCCACAGGCTGATGCTCCAACCACGGAGCCAAACTGGCCAGGGCTGGTGTAATATTTCATATGTGGAACGACCCCCTCAGGTACAGGCAGAATCAATGGGGTAAGATTGACTAGAGAAAATTAGTAAATCTGTGTCTAGGTAGTAATTCTGCTTCCTCGGGGTGAGCTCCTGCAGAGAGTAGCAGAAACATATCTTTGCATTCCTCAGTTAATATGTTGACCTCATCTTCTACCTGGGCCTTATTTGTATTGTATCCCCAGTAAATCTTAATTGAATTAACAACACAGTACTTTCCTCTCTATGAGAAAACATCCTGTAAGGAGAAAACCTCTTTCTTTTTTAAAAACTTAGCACACACTCTCTAAGTAATCGTGCATGCATGCAAGAGACCCTTGGATGCTTTCCCTGACAACCAGCCTCAAGGTTAGAACATTGTAGGGAATTTTTTTTTATTTGCCCAGGGTAAGGGGAAGATATATTAGAAACATTTTCTAAAGTCCCTATTGTCTTCATGATACAAACTATAGACAATAAAGATTGACTAAAAAAAAAAAAATCACAAACATTCTTGACTAGAGGGAATGTAACAAAGACTACTTCCACCTTCTGAGTAAACATGATTCTTGGATCCTCTGGGTGAATAGGAAGAATCTGTCTCCCCAGCAGCAGAAGGAAGCTCTCGTTTTACCACAACATAGTATTTTTCTAGAAATATGTGCTACATTTTCATCAACCTAATTCAGCCTATCTTCTATTCTAATGAGTCCCCTGGGCATTTGATTTACAAGCGAGTCTTAGAAAATAATTTTGGCAAGAACAAGGACTCGGACTTTGTACTCTGGTAGACCTGGATTCGAATTCTAGCTACACTTTCTGAAAGGCACTATGTGGTGTCGAAGTTCAACGTTAGGACTGATGGCAGCCTGCCTGGGTTGAAGCCTGGCTCCAGGTTTACCAGCTGGCTCCCTAACTGCTCCTTGCCTCCACTGTCTCATCTTAAAAAGAGAGATAAACATAGAACCTATCTCAGAGGGCAGCTGTGAGAATTAAAAGTTGAAATGTATACAAAGCACTTATGATAGTGCCTGACTCATGGCAAGCATTTGATGAGTACTTACAGCTATTCTTAATTATTGGCTATGTGTTCTTGGGCAATTTTTATAACCTCTCTGAGATTCAGTCATTCCCTCCTCTATAAAATTAGAATTACAAGGTTGTGAGAATGAGATAAAATATGCAAAACTCTTGGCACAGAATCACATCAGTTGGTATTCAGGAAATGTTCACTCATTATATCCATTTCTCTAATTTAAAAACTGAAAGATAAGGGGAACATAGTCAATACTATTGTGGCAAGTTTGCATGGTGAACTGAATTAGTGGGATGAAGGAGGGTGTCAATGGAGAAAAAAAGGAGAAACATCTGTAACAAAAATAAATTAATAAAAAAAAAAAAGAATTAGTGGGATGACTGCATTGGATGGTATAAAAATGTCAAATTAGCCCTGGCCGGTTTGGCTCAGCGGTTAGAGCGTCGGCCTGCGGTCCAGAGAGACCTGGGTTCGGTTCCCGCTAAGGGCACGTACTTCGGTTGCAGTTTGTCCCCGGCCCTGGTTGGTCGTGCGGGAGGCAGCCACTCGATGTGTCCCTTCACGTCGATGTTTCTCTCTCTCTCCCTTCCTCTCTCTCCGTCCCACTGTATCTGTACAAAAAATGGAAAAATATCCTCGGGTGAGGATAAAAAAAAATAAAATAAAATAAAAAAATAAAAAAAAATGTCAAATTACTACATCATACACCTGAAACTAGTATAACTGATATAATATCGGATACCAACTATCCTTTAATTAAAAAAATAAAAACTGAAAAGTAAACTATCTATAAATGGGAGATCTAACGATACCACAAAACGTTCTCCGCTCGCGGTCTGTGTGTAGTTTTGGCTTTTTAAAACTGCATTGACATTTCTACTCCAGCCTTGAACCATTTCTATTTAATACTTGGAAATGTGTTCAGCAGGTATTTCAATATTTTAACCTTGGATGCAGCATTCTTTATTCTTGCTGTATCTGCTAAAGTAAAATTTTGCCAAATGCCTTACAGAGATTAGAGATGATCCTATTGAGCCTATTTACTGTTTATCTACAAGCACTAGAATCTTTTCTCCCAACTAATAAGCTTTCTGAATGTCATTAATGTAAGAAAGACATGGTACCAAACCTGGTCTGGCGCAGACACTTGCTTGTTTGTCCAAGGATCGCAGTCGCGGTACCTGGAATACAGGGCGAGACCGCAAAGCACTGCGCAGATGAGGATTACCCAGAGTCCCACCAGATTGATGTAGAGGGACCTACAGAAGTGGAAACAAACCAGCAAGGATGGTTGTAATTTCTATCCCGAAGAAGAGGAAGTTGTTACATAAACAGAAGAAACGTTCATGACTATAGTCAGTAAATGCATTTTATCTTTTGTCTATCAAAAATGCTACTTATTTCACCCTGGCCTAACCTTCTGCTTATGCTGTCAATCAACACGGTTTGGAAGTACCTAGAATAGGTGACGTTTACCCATTGAATGAATGTGTTCTCCTGGTTGGAGTTTCATGGGCATTATTAGCTTTATAATGGTATCTAATTATACTACTTCAGGGCTTCTTGTCATGAAGTACAGATTTTAATAGTCAACAGATGAGCAACTATTACTCATTTTCCTTTTAAAAGTAATACAGTTTTAAACTGCTAAATATACTGAGCATCTACATAGCAACTCATTGAATGTGTTTAAATGTGGTTTGTAATACTATCCTTTACGTATGAAAGGCAAACCTGTACTCCTTGCACAGTGTCTTCCCAAACAATATTCAGCATTATCATCCACAGTGTGAGCCCAGGAGATGCAAAGGCTCATTGAACAGTCCTGGAGCCAGACCTAAACGTAAACCCTGTCTCCACCCGCCATTCGTGACCCCGGGCAAACAATTGAGCCTGTCCAATCCTCAGTTTCCTCATTTGCACCCGGAGATAACAATGTCTCCCTCACAGAGTGGTAAGACGAAATGAAATAGTATATGTTCTGTGGCACGGAGCTCGGCAAGTACTAAACACTTGCTGGATGGTAGTTATCGATATTATTAGTATTGATGCCACTGAATGCTATGTCTTAACAATCAGTTGATCGGTAAACATTCCTGTCGCTACGGTGGCTACAATTTCCCCCAGTGGTGGTGTAGTTGACACTGTGATGAGCTGCCCCAGTGTGAAGAGAGGCATCACCCCCACGGTCATGGGACGTCTACTGACCACTGGATTCAGAGATGGAAAGGCCCAGTCTCCTCACCCTCACTTGGGACAAGTCTGAAGAATCACGGAGCTTCAGAGCTCCCGTGAACCTCTGTTGAGGATGCGTCACAGTCCAGCTTCTCCCCCTGGCCACTCCTGCTTGTCCTCCTTCCTTTCCTTCCCCAGTGGACTCAGGCACACCAACCTCCATCTCCAAGGCCACTTCCGGGGGGCCCGCCCTGCAGCCGTGCCGAACTGACTCAATTCACTGTGTTCGGTTCACGTCCAAGAACAGGACAGGTAACTATGTCTCATCTGCGAATTACTGCAGAATATACTCACTTTCCTGCTCAGACACCCCCATTGTTTAGATGAGTTTAATACTCTACCGTGTTGTTTTATTTGAAGGGAATGTTATTCAAATAGATCAGTTAGCAACATCTGATGGCCCCGGTCAATCAAGGTCAAGTCGATCTGACTCTGGAGCTGGGATTCATTCTTTCCATGGAGCCAGTGTTAGAAAGCCGGAGAAAATGGTTCCCTGAGCTCAGGGAGTCTGCCTCGTTAAGGAGACCCACGGGGCTATTCTGAAGGAAATCGTTTCTTTTTAAGGAAGCTCCAATGCTGTTCTTTTCGTTATAAAAGTGGGTTTTTTGAGCTTCGTGTTCCCAATGCAACAGAAGAGCATATGCACAATGACTTTGGGAAAGGCACCAGCTCCGGTATAGGTTGAGTCTGGTGCATTGCTGGACATATAAATTACATTCCTTAAAACACTACAACTCTTAAGCTCACCTTTGGGGGATTCCCTATCCAGTGATTATACTCATATTCATATAGGTTTTTCATTGTGGAATTTTCCAAAGACAAATAATGTCTAGCCCAATTTACTCTCAATATATTGAGTTTTGACATATGATATCACAATATTTTCATGTCCACCTTGGAACAGAAATAGAATCGCCACTCTTCCTACTCTGATCACTCTGTTGCTCTTAATCAGTCTTGAAGCCTCTAAATGCCCCTGGGCTGAGTCAGCCTGATTTATCAGCACGGGACTTGGTAGTCACCAAGCTTATCTGAGGCCTCTTGGGAAAGAACCAGTCACTGCTCATACTCTCGACTCGGGCCAAGATGGGCTTGAGGGTCACTGACCCTGTCATCCTTCTGACCCCTGTGCCGTGTCCACACTTCTCTGCCTGCCTGAAATGCTCTGTCACTCTTCTCCACCTGCCTACATGTGCTCACTCTTCAGGATCTGCCTGGCTGACAGGAATCTCTCAACCAGGATTCGCAGCTCCTGATGGGAGGTGGACAAGGACTTCACACTTTCTAGACCTCTGCCAGCTGTGTGCTGAACACAGTATTTTATAATACGTCCCAGGAGATGTATAACGTGTCTTAGGCTCATTTTACAAGGTCAGAAACTAACGTTCCCAGAAACTATGTAACTCACCCAGGATCACTCAGTGACAAGTATTGCAGCAGGGTTATAAACCCATGACCGCATTTGAAAACAAAATGCACCAGCACATCTGGCAATAGGATGCTCTGAGACATTTCCTCTGTTCACTGTGTTGCACGGCACTGCTGCACCTCTCTAGTGTTATTTCGCCTTTTCATACTTGCGCATATTTTCCTAATTTGCTGCTGATTTGCTTCATGACAAGAGCCATATATTTATAATTTCCATCATAATTCTATACAAACAGATGCACAATAAATGCCTGTTTACTTGATAAGATTCGTTTTCCTTCCTAATTAATATACGTATTTGTAGATACCTTGTTTAAAACATACAGTACCGCTTTGTTCTACTGCATCCTTTCGTAAGTGAGTATATCATCTATCCATTGGAATTTCATGGTACAAAGGACAAACGTGAGCAAACTTAAGCTTGACTTATGAAAGAATTTCCATAAAGACAACTAATGGTTGTTAACAATACGTATTCCACAGTTTGGCTTACAGTTTTGCCTGGAATCTGCTTTTACAGGAAATATATCTCTGCACTTGAGATTGGTTGACACCGTACAGGCTGGTCCACGTGAAGGTCCCTCCTAAAATAATTGTCCAGAATGTGTGTCTTTGCAAAGGATTAGGATTAAAACTAAATGAAAACAAACAGAAAACAAATCTGAACGATTGGCAAAGAAAGAAAAAAAGAAAAAAACACTACAAAAATCCCACCCAGTCTATTTTTTGAAGCATATGTACAAATTTATTAATTATAAAAGGTTGAAATAGCCCTAATTTAAGTTCAATGAAATAAAATAGATAATTTCAGAGATTGGGGGATTCTGGATGGGATTGGGGGTAACGAATATGCTAATCATTCTGAGCATTTATATAAATCGTTCTCCCATGGCCACGGGAAATAATTTAAACAAACCATGCTATAATCAGAGAAGAGCATGAAGCTAGAGAGAAAGGTACTTAAGTACATCAGAGCAATAGAAGGTACTGAAATGAACACGAAATTGATACATCCTGTGCATATAAATTCCTCTCCTAGCACATGTATGGTCATAGTTCTAATTTACATTCAAGCTTAAGAATTCTGTCAACTATAGTTTAAAGGTTTTCATGTTCTAAAACTACTATGCCATTATAATTGTGCTTTCTTAAAATGCTGTGTGCACAGGTCAATACTAACAGTTGAAAGTTATTTTTTGACATGTACCAAATATTGTTACAAAGAAAGCTCAACTTCCACATATAATACATTTTTAACCCTTCTTAATGTATCACCTTGAGAGGAACGGTTCTGTTCATCTCTGATACACAACACAAGCTTGAAAGATTTTCTGCAAAATTAGCTTTCATGTCAGAGTAATCAAAGTCTCCTGAGTGGCCACTGCTTCTTTTATTGTTATCATTATTATTATTATTATTTTTAATCCTCACCTGAGGATATTTTTCTATTTATCTTCAGATAGAGTGGGAGAGAGGGAGAGAGAAAGAAAGATCATCGTGAGAGGGACACATCGACTGGTTGCCTCCCACACGATCCCAACCAGGGCCGGGGAGGAACCCCAACTGAGGTACGTGCCCTTGCCGGAATTGAATTGAACCCGAGACTCATTGGTCCTCGGGCCGACGGTCTACTGCTGAGCCAAACCGGCCAGGGCACCACTGCCTCTTGGTATCCATTCCTCCCTTTCCTGGTAACAGCAAGCCAGGTTTGCTCTGGAGAAACCACTGCTTCTCCATTAAATACTCTAAATGGCTGTCAATCAAAACGTCCCGCTCTGCCCTAGCTAAGTGATGGCATCATGGCCAAGCTAAGCCAATTGGAGGCTCTCTTCCTCGGAATCTGCATCTTGAGGTAAAAGGGAAAAGAAATATTGAAACAGTTGAAACTGATTCTCTGTAATACATTCCTGCAAGTTAACACCATGACCCTGTTCAATTCATGATAAAGCTCTTCTCGAACATTAGCACCTGTTTTTGGAAAGCCAGACGAGAGTTGCCAAAAGCAAAATTTTTTCCCTCTTGAAATAGTTCGAGCTTGCCTGTCTCAAAGTAGAGCTGGGTAAAGAGAAAACAAGCTGCTCCACATTGCACATGATGTACAAGGATGACCCTGATGACCCTAAAGCGAAGGTGTTTTAAACATTCTTGTAAATTGTATGATAAATTTGTGGTGAGCTATCCAGTGTCTCCACTCATCTTTCCTTAGGAAAACTGAACAGCCGTTTAACACCTGTTATAGCACGTGCTATACTGACACTTGAGGCATCAGCCACGACTTTTCTAGTTAATTCTCTTGAAATGATATATAATAGTATATAATGAGGATTATACATTTGCATATATATTATATCTATAGCATAATAATATATATAATAATAATAAACTATATATTGCCAGGATGATATAAATATCAGAAAAGAAATTTTCCAGGCTGCTTGAAACAAAGAATGGTCAAAATGAAATCACTGTTTTTTAGTGTTTTCTCTTAAGAGGTTTCCTCTTCTTATCTCTTCACTCTCTCTCCCTGTATCACCCTACCCCACCCCTCAACCTAGTCCAGACTTTAACATCTGGAAGAAAATACTCTTTTCTATCAATCCCTTCTCAGGAGGAAGCACTGTGTAACTAAGTACCACCCAACTGATTTAACCCCTTAGAGACCTGGTGAAAACTCCTTACCCATTTACTTGCCAGCTTCAAATGTCTGTACCACATCCTTAGTGGTTTGTTTGTTTTCTAATGTAAACTTATTATTCCAATAAAGAGATTACTTTACAGGAAAAAAAAAATAAAGAGGAATGTTCTATTAGTCAGGAGGTAAACAGCAACTTACTTCCAGAAGTTTAATCTTCCACCATCAGAGGCATGATTTACAATAGTGCTGATTCCACCTTGAATCACTGACGCTTGTATAATCACAGAAACAAATCCCGCCAACATGATCCCAACTTGAAAAACATCCGTCCATACCACTGCCTTAAGACCACCCTTCAAGGGGAAAGTATGTTAGGATTAGTGCTTTTATCACAGACATTTTTAAGCATCTACATTCTTATACACTATGCTGCACAAACTTTTCAAATACATGGATCTTGGCCAAGAAGTGCACCCCAGGAAGACAGGTTGGAAGAACCTTCAAGAGAAGGTGATGGTTAAACCAAACCTTCCAACACACAAGGGGCAGAGATGGAAGGTCCTCCCGGCAGAGAAAACAGCATACACGAATGCATAGCTAAGTCAACGTATATGGTATGTTGAGTGTAGACAGATACATACATATTTTGGAGTAAAGTGGAATGGTATGAAATGATCATTGGAAAGAAAATTTAGAGTCAAATTGCAAACAGCGATATCACAGATCTTATCCTGTAAGCAGGGCTGATATTCAAACAGTATACACTGTTTGAAGGTCATATCAATTGTTGAAAATACTAAAATTGTTTTGTATTAACCACTGCCACAAACTTCCTGAGTATCCCCCTCCCATCCCTTTGACCTTGGCTGAAATAGCCCCTCCTTTTAGGAGGACCTGTCTCCTAAAAGATCCAGCAATTAGAGGATTAAAACCTGGCCTACCAAAGATCCCACAAGACTTGTGCCACTGCTAAGGACCAGCATCCATGGGAGTATCAGTACCTATGCCATACTGGTTCTTAGATATTCTGTCAGTAAAGGCAACGGGAAGTTATCTCAGGTTTCTGAGTTGAGGAATAATATACACACAGCTGTAATAACTTGGCAACAGTAAGGATAAATTAGGAGACAAGATTAGGGACCATTCTATGGTTCAGATGAAAGAAAACATCTTCAGTTATGATCAATGTTCTACAAAGGATCAAATTTTACCCCAGACTGAATATTCTTTAAAAAAAAAAAAAAAAAAAAAAGTCATACTATAGGAGGTGGGAGAGTAATTGTGAACAACTCTGACTGCAGCACACAACTACTGGAATGTTCAATTTTGCAAAGCAAGTGTGTACAGTCAAAGGAGAAATAATGTTCTTGACATACCAGCGTGCAGTAGAATGTGCAGACCACCCCTGTGGCCACCACTGCGCCCCAGAGATCAAATCCTGTGACTGTTGAAGAAAAGAAAATGCATGTATAGCCGTGAAACATGCATAATAAACGTACTTCTCAAAAAAAATCATCAGGGGAAAGCTCTATCATTTATTGGGTACCTACCTCTATACCCACTCACCTAAAACTAGGTGCAAATCTCATGAGATGTACCAAAACAATTGGAGTTCAAAATTCTATTTGATGAGTTAATCAGACCCGGTTTCTACCCTCAGACACCAAGCATAGATCCAAAATTGGCTAAATTAAATACATTAAAACACATTTACATTGTAATTAAGCTAAGAAACTGCTTAATACCATGAGGTTGTTATTCAGACTGAATGAAGTCCTAGAGTTCTTGTCATCATGGTTCAAATAAACACACCATCCTACTAGTCCTTGAAAGACAAGTTGTGCACGTTACTGAAATGGGACTAGGGTAGAGGAAAGTCTATATAATTCGCTACCATTTATCTAAGCGGGGGGGGGGGGGGCATATTACATTTTATAAAACAGGAGGACGACTCTATGGCCACAAATTGATAATGAACCAATTTCTTGATAGACAATTTGCTTATCCACACAAGAAGAAATAGGTGATCTGAATAAACTCATCTCTATTAAAGAAATTGAATTAATAATCTTCTAAAACAGAAAGTTTTGTTCAACCAAATGGGTTCACTGGTGAGTTGATCATTATTAGTGTAGAGGTAAGGGTACATTAGGGTTCAATATACTATCCTCTCTCTTTTAGTAGATGTTTGAGTTTTCCATGATAAAGGAAATATTGGACCTAGAAAATGTCAAGTTCCAATTCAGTTAAACAAGTTTCTAGTGAGCACCTGTTATACAAGAAGTAATATATCTATGCTTGTGTCTACTGTTTCTGTCCACTGTGAAATGCAGCATTAATATTCAGGTGGTCAAAATGCAGTCCTTCAGGCTCTCATTTATTCCAAGGGAGTTGCTTAGTCCTTGATTTCTTTATATATTGAAGGTACCGCTCTCTTTTTCCTCAAACTGCACTTAAAAACCCTCAAGTCAACATCTTCATAACACTTAAAGTCAATATATGACTTCTGAAGTTTATGGCTGTTTTTTTCCATATAAAATGATTCATTTATGATGCTGGTACTATTAACACAGAACATGCCTAACATTCAGAAGTCAAGAGCACATTATATAACGGAGTCCTTCCTTGTGATGCTGCTGTTGTACTTTATAAACTTGGGTGATACCTACTATCAATCTCTCAAGAAATAAAAAAAATTAAAGTGTGGAGTTAGCAAGGTTTTTTTTTTTCCTTTTATACTGACTACAGGAACTGCACCACATTCTTCCCATCACAGAGTCCATTTGATAAGGATGTTCTAGAGGTGAACTCCCTTCTGGTTGATAAGAATTCGAAGGAAGTAGAGTTTCCCTGAAGCCTTGTGAGATTATGATAAACATGAACCTATGCCTCGATATACTAGGCCAGTTTTCCTGCAAGTATCTGCCCATATCTAGAGAGTATAGTAATTTGTTGATCAGCACAACCCTCATGCATTTGTTTATAAGAACCCTACAGCCATCTGTCCTTTTGTCACTAGGAGAAGTCTAATATTTCAAATCACACAGATCTATTTCTTTTGCATTTTTGGAACACATTAGAAGTGAGGAGAAAAAAAGCTTCTCTTCCTGCCAGATTTTACAATGTAACTGAGCCCAAAACACACAGGAAAAAAAAGCCTGTTGGAGACCGGCTCCGGGTTGTAGCCACAAAGGGAGGAAGTGCAGTCATTCACGGTTTAGACCAGAGGGAGCGCTCATTCTGATGGAATGTGAGTGGCTGTTTGGCACCTCCAGGGACTCACTTGCCTAGTGAAGTCTGTTCTACTAATGTACAGACCTTTTTGAGCTATGGATCCAGGAGTCCAAAGAAACTCCTAGTGTAGACCCTGAACCCCCCTTTCCCACCTCAAGCTGATGCAGGCTACTGAAGTATTCCTTCATCTTCCCATCTCCCCAGAGAATAGGTCTATTAAAAATGAACAGCAAATCGACATAGTTGGTAATTCTAAAATGTACCTTGATTCAAAGCCAGGGCAGGGGCATAAATAACAATTCCAGTATACAGAACCTGGTGGGGAAAAAGAAGACCAAATAAATGATATGAATTATAAAATAAAATGTCAATATTTTTCTACAAATTCAATTATGAATTAAAACAGCAGTTTCCGTATACGCAATAAAATTTGTTTATAACTCGAAAAATGTTATTTAAGTAAGGTTGATTCTCCTTTTCTGTTTGTGATATGGTCATAGGTTACAAAAATCTTTTATGACCAATTTTTGTAAAAAAATGGACTCTTGCCCAGGCTGGTGTGGCTCAGTTGGTTGAGCATAATCCCATGCACTGAAAGGTTGCTGGTTCAATTCCCAGTCAGAGCACATGCCCAGTTCGTGGGCTCAATCTCCGGTAGGGGTGCATGCGGGAGGCAACTGATCGCTGTCTCTGTCTCTCTCTAAATCAATAAAAACATATTTTTTAAAAATAGGGACTTTTCATGTGGTGCTTAGAGTAGATAGTCACTGATTCATCAACTCAAGCTAGAAATCAATTTTCCTGGATCTAAAACAATCAAAAAGAAATAATACAAACTTAAAAGTGGACGGCCCCTTATGCATATGCCTTCAAACTATTGCTAATCTCTGCATGATTAATTAGGAAAACTGAAATTTTAGAAACTGATTTATAAAAATTTGCATGCCCACTAATTATACAAAAGTGTAAATTTACTCTAAAAACTCCTGAAAACCAACCACAATGGCATTCTACCTTTTTTACATTATTTTGTTCATGTATACATTCAATAAATATTTATTAATCTGGGGTACAATAGTGAATAAGATAAATCAGGTCTTTTTTTCTCAAAATATTATCTTCATCGCACTTGATCTTTCAAATACATCACATAGAAGTGAATTCTATGATTACTCTATACAAACATATTATGAAAAAAGCCATATTATAGAGTATAGGAAGTAAATCCTTTGTATGGGAGATGCTAAAGTTCCCCTCTTTTAGTAAGAATGAACTAGCTTTCCAGTCATTATTCTGTCCAAGTCGAAGATTTGAAAATATGATCACAGACCACTTTCTTAACACTAGTCCCCACTTTTCATTTCTGTTGGTATTGCTAACAATGATTCAAAGAGGGTCTGAGCTGTCAGTAAGCCCAAGCTACTAGCCTCAGCTCTGGGTCAGAATGTCTACCAGATCCCAAAGGGTGCCTTCCTTTTATACTGCAAGAGTTAAGGACTGATATAATTTAAGTGACGTAATTCACAAAGATAGACAGTGAAGTCGAGCTAAATTATTTACAAAGGCAGTTTGCCATGCTACAGCAAGTGCTTACATAGGTAGCTGTTAATTGGAGGATGGCACTGTAAATAAAGACGTGAATGAAAACATCCTGGACTTCTATTATCAAACCCATCCCTAAAGCACTTGGCTGCCAAGAGAAGGTAGGTATAAATCATGTGCCAAGGACCATGCCAAGCCTCCAGCAGCTTGGGTGAAGGGTGAAAAACACTCTCTGGCACTGACTGCTTGCATATTCTTGAATTACTGGATTGTGTCCTTGGCTTTTAAAACACCTCCAGAGTGTATGGTTCTATTGTTTTACCCTCGGTGACTGCTTCCATTGGGCCTTAAGGTTCAATTTTTAAAGAGAGACCAGGTTTATTTTTTAAGTATGCGTTCAAAGAAAATCATTTCCTAATATCTTCCGACATCAATTAATTTTTTCAAACCTGTTATTTAACATGTTGCTAAAATACTATGGAATATCTAATTCGTTTTCCCTTTGTTACAATTCCAGGTCTTAGCTACTATAGGTCTTTCAGAAACCTTGGTCATCTCCGCCATGGCCCTGTCACTTTGGGGAGGAAGGGGGATGGGGAACAGCATACTTTTCTAAAACAACTTAACTATTGTTTCACCAATATAATATTTAACATTCACTTAAATCATTCTGTTTTCCCAGGAAGAAGTTTATTTCTTAAAACTCTGTTTAATGATCTTAAAGGTTAAGCTACATGGTGAGTGACAAGTGCTTTTCCATTTTTGTTTTCCCCTATTTTTACCATCTCTTTTTTATCTTTCATGTGTTTACCAAAAAAGCTTGACCCAGATGCTTTCTTAATTATTATTATTTTTTAATCCTCACCCAAAGACATTTTTCCATTTATCTTCAGACAGAGTGGGGGGGGTGGGGAGAAAGAGAGAGAGGAACATCAGTGTGAGAGAGACACATCAATAGGTTGCCTCCCCCACAACCTCGACCAGGGCTAGGGACCAAACCACACCCAAGGTACTTGCCCTTGACCAGATTTAAACCCGCAACTCTTGCCCTGACCGGTTTGGCTCAGCGGTTAGAGCGTCAGCCTGCGGTCCAGAGAGACCCGGGTTCAGTTCCTGCTAAGGGCTCGTACCTCGGTTGCAGTTTGTCCCCGGCCCTGGGCCCTGGTTGGGTCGTGCTGTTGGCAGCCACTCGATGTGTCCCTTTCACATCGATATTTCTCTCTCTCTCTCTTCCTCTCTCTCCATCCCACTCTCTCCATCCCACTCTATCTGAACAAAAAAATGGAAAAATGTCCTCTGGTGAGGATAAAAAAACAAACAAACAAAAAATAAACCTGCAACTCTTTAGTCCGAGGGATGCTCTAACCACTGAGCGAACTGGCCAGGGTGCCCCAGATGCTTTAATTAAAAACATGTTAGCCCTGACTGGTTGCTCAGTGGTTAGAGCATCGGCCTGCGGACCAAAAAGTAACAGCTTCAGTTCTTGTCAAGGGCACATACCTGGGTTGCAGGTTCAATCCCTGGCCTGGTTGGGGTCGTGCAGGGGCAGCCAATCAATGTGTCTCTCTCACATCAATGTTTCTCTCTCTCTCTTTCTCACTCTCTGTCTCTCTCTCCCTCCCTCCCTTCCACTCTCTAAAAAGCAATGGAAAAATATCCTCTGGTGAGAATTAACAAAGAATAATAAAATAAGTAAATAACATGTTAGATGACAAAAGGTAAAATAAACTAAAGGAGAGCTACTTACTGTTTGAATAATGTAGACGATTGTTCCACAGAGGCGAACGTATCTGTTAAATCGAAGTTCTAAATACTGTTTCCAAAAAAGGAAAAACGGTTAATATGTGAAACCTTTGGACACTTTTTTTAAATAAGCAGCATAAGAAGTAAAGGAGTTAGAAATTTAAACCTCATAATAAATTTTTAGTCCCTTTTTCTATTTTACTATTATTTTTATTTACACACAACAACATTGACTCTTGTTTTAGGGTACAGTTCAATGAGTTTTAACACATACAGAACAGTTCCCTCACCCTCAGAAAACTCCCTGGTGTTGCTTTTTTAGAGTCAAACCCTCTCCCTACCCCTCGGTCTTGGCAATCACTGATCTGTTCTCCATCCCTAGTTTTGCCTCTCCCAGAACGCCATATGAATGGAATTATATCCTGTGTTGTTAGAATGAGCAAAGTGTTGTTCTCCCTTTGCTCTTGGTATCTACTCTATACATTTCCCCGACTCACTTAGAGAAACAACTCTTTCCCGCTGCAGGCAATTATGATGGCAAGTCCATCAAGGGGCCCCGCCCCTTCTGGCCAAGCCGTGGTCACATGACCCATGCTCTGCCAATCAACTTCTCTTCTCAATGGGTATTTGAATGTTAGAGGCAAGATATAAAGGTAGAAAATGACTGGAGCAGAGGCAGGCTGATTCTGACAGGGGGGCCTGAAGAGGTCTCCCTGGCTTCTGTCCTTTTCCCAGTCTGTTCAGCTTTTCTCTGTTCTATGAGCTACTCCCATATTCTTCCAATAATTTCTTTTAACTTAAATCAGCCTAAGTCCATTTCTGTTCAGAGTCAACAACCTTGCCATTCTTCCAACTCTCCCTGACATATGTTATATTTTATAATATAATCTGCTCATCTCCTATATTACATATCAGAATGCATTATAGAGTTAGAATCCTAGAATTTCACAGCTGGAAGGAAGCTGGAATTGAACACATTCTTTAACTCAATTATTACTACATGTAGAGAGAATTTTAAGACTGACAATAGTCTTTTCATTTAGGAGAAAAAAAGAGGAAAGAAAAAACTGTCATTAGGTCATGAACATGGGGGAGAGGATATTTTTGCTCCATAATCACAGCTAACATGTACAAAGTATTTGCTTTGTATACTATCCTCTCAACAACTTCATGAGCAGGTACTAAGTATAAGCACATGAGGACACAGGCTCAGAGAGAACCCCAACGTTGCAACCTAATAACTGTCAAAGTCACAGTGCAAACCTAGGACCATTTGACACCAAAATGTGTGCATATAACCACTACATTATTTGAAACAAACAAGTAAGCTGACCACTGTGTGAGACTCCTACAGTGCGTGGGTAGCACTGGCACATAGTATGACCTCCATAAAGAACCAATGGGTAAGAGCTATACATACAGTGTAGCACATCAGGGGAAGAGTCCCAGGCCTTGTCCCAGCCTTAATCCTGCCTCCACAAGCTTCGGGCAGTCACTCAAAATCTCATGTTCCTTCCTCTTGAAAATGAGCTCTTAGAAATAATTCTCTCCCCTCTTGCTTTGCAGGGTTTTGGAGACTATCATATGATATAAATGGATGGGCAAATGTTGTAAACTGTAAAATGAAGAAGTTCATATTCAAATCCATAGGCCTTGAGAATTTGAATCTCAGTGAAATTACAGGTCAAAATGATCCAAGGATAATTCGGTAGACTCTTTAGAAGACTCAGGAAGCAAGTTTGAAATCAGGTCAGTGTTATCTCTTCAGAATAGTTTTAGTAAAAGTATTAAAAATGAATGTACGTGAATAGTCAGAGAAGTCTTTGCCTTTTCTAAGTACATGAATCTAAAGTGCTGGAAACTAAAGAAAACGGAAGAGAAAAATGTGATGAAGGTAAGAATGTATGTAGCAAGTTGAACCAAATAACTTGGTTCAACTATGTTACTTTTTGTCCCCAAGATCAACAGGATCCAGACAAACCTATAGATTTAAGCTCACACAAGACCAACTCAAGACAAACTCAGGAAGTTTATCATTATCTCAGCTATTAGTGATTACTGGGCTGCTAAATAAATACCTGGAGACCTTCCAGAAGCTCAAGTCACTGAGCAGTAGGCTCAGAGAATAGCTCTAGGATTTCCAGACAAAACTAGAGAATAACAGTAGGTGCCTATAGTCAATCAAGATCTGTCCTGGTCCTCAGAACTTTGAATAATTTAGGGACACTAAAACTTCCACTGAATAATTGTTTAAAATAGTCTAGGCAATTCGGTTCAAACACACAGATTTCGCTGGCTCCAGAAAGACACTGAAGAAGTGATTCATGAAATTGCATTCCTGCATTTTACCTCTTCTCTGTGAGTCTGGAGGTTGCTAAACTCCTGTAGGGACTATACATTGAAGGCAGTGATAAATAGATGTCAACAATGCTTCTGAACAGCCCATTTTAGCTAACAAATTATAAATAGGGAGACCTTTTGCGCTTGAGCAAGAAAGCCAGTGTCACTCAATGCTGGGCTTTTTACCCTGTATGGGTGGCTCCATCTCACCGTGAAACAAATTATTCCTCCAGAAGACTCACCAGAAGCTTCAGAAGCAGCCAATGTGCCTCACTGCACAGCCTCTGGGCAAGCATCTGCTTCGCTTCGTGCTCTCTTATGTAGCTGAATTTATTCTGAGCCTCTTTCTCTGCAAAGTGGGGCTCTCACAGTAACTCCCTTATAAGGACTGTTTTGAGGACTGAGTTTGATAATATATGTAACAACATGCAGCCAGTGCCCAGAATATATCAAACATTCAGTGAATGTTTTTTGGTGTGTGTTTGTTATTTTTGCCAGATTTAGCTGGAACCCTGCTAACTTAGCCCCCAGCACCCAGGAGATGTGTGAGAAATCTGTTTCTGGTTGAGTTCACATGGTGCCCTGGAGAGGCACGGGTCAGTGATTATGAGAGCAGCACTCATCCGTGAGAACTCAAGTCCTCTTGCCAGAATCTCCAAACCCATTCTGAGTGTTGGAGCTGGTTAACTACAGATCGGAGCTCACAGACTCAAATGCCTACAGGTCCCATCAGGTAACACACATGAGCATGGCATCGACTTAATGTGTTGGGATATTCCCCACATCCACTAAGAAATATGCTCTCTCACAGCTCCTTCGAAACAATAACTCCCTTCACCCCTGTTCATGTTCCCTTTTGCACTTTTGATAAAGTCATAAATGCAGATAAAGATTTCTCTGCATGCAAATGCAATGATGAGACCTCCATATAGACATAGGAGTGATAGCAACGGGTGACGACTGGGGTTCCTGCGGCCACAGGGGATGTGGGCTCAGTGTTACCAGTCTTTTGGGTGTTCAAAAAAAGCCAGAATCTGGAATTTTATTTGGCTTCCACCGTCCTTAAATGCTAAATTATTATTATTTTTTTCCCAAATGTGGAAAAAAAAAAAAAAAAAGACCATGACTGAAGACTGAGTTTGGCCTGGGGAAGCCAGGTTAAAACCTTTGAGCAAAACAGAAATTCCATCCTGCTTCATGACCAGAAGAAGGCAGTGCTGTCCCAGGAGCGCCTGCCCTGGATGATATCACTAGAATCCATGCAGTTCGTCATCAACACTTACTGTGCCACTGGGGCCCTGTCCACAGCACCAGTTGAACCAGCCTTACTAGGAAACCACCTTCCAGAGACTCTGAATTGGAGCAGACACTATATAAGCTCACGGACAGAGGCAGTTGCTGAGAACGAGGCTCTGAGCCCTCTGGATGGAAATGACTGCAGGTTTGTGGAAGTGACTGGTGGGTTAGTGCTGGGTGAGGGAGACCACTGAGGGTCCTGAACTGGACCCCACCGGCCCTCTGAGCTTTGCTCCTCCCTCAAGCACTCCCATCAACATCTCTTTAAACTAAACCAAAAATTCACCATCTTTGCAAAGCCCTTTCCCGCAGACAACTTGAGAAAACCCATAACCAGCGGGCCTGTGCAATAGGAAAGATGGTTTTCCTTAAGCATTTTTCCACAGAGACAAGGTGTTTAAGGACCTTGCAGCCAAATTTTCCTAGTATACCAAGATAACCACCTCCGTCGCCACCACGCCAATGTTAGCCAACATTTATTCAGCACTTCCCCTGTACCAGACACTGTTTCAAATACTACACTTGCATCATCTCTTTTAATCCTCCCAACAACTGGGTGAGGTAGGTGGTATTATTATTTCCATTTTGCAATGAAGAAATCACAAAAGGTTGAATTAGTCACCCAAGGTTACCCAGCTGGTAAGTGATAGAATCTGGTCTCAAACGCAGGTACTGGGACAAGGGACGCAGCACCTTAACCACCTGCGCCTGCCTCTCTGGAAAATCTGTGTGCGGAGGAGGGAAGCGGGGGGGGGGGGGGGGGGCACAAACGTCTTCCCAACTATCCCGGGTTAGTGCCTGGGAGCTTGGGACAAGGAGATTCATTTCAAGGAGGAGGAGCTAAGACTGGAAGTATTTACCCTTCCCCAAGATAACAAGTATAAAAATCTTTCTTCTCAACTCGGAATCAAAGATGTGAAATCAGCCCTGGCTGGTTTGGCTCATCGGTTAGAGCCTGGGCTGGCAGACCAGAGAGGTCCAGTTTGTTCCCGCTAAGGGCAGGGACCTCTGTTGCAGTTTGTCCCCACTGGGTTGGGGCTGTGTGGGTGGCAACCAGTCAATGTGTCTCTCCCACATCAATGTTTCTCTCTCTCTCTTCCCCTTCTCTCCCTCCCACTCTATCTGAAGATAAATGCAAAAATATCCTTGGGTGAGAATAAAAAAAAATAAAAAAAAAGATGTGAAATCAGAAAGGGCCTTAGTGAGCGCTAGTCCAAATCACTCCATTTACTTTGGCAGCCTCTCTTTTTCACTGAGTTCCTGGGAGTAAGTCCCAAGATTTCTTTTCTTTTCTTTTCTCCTTTATGGGACACCTCTTCCCAAAAGAGGGGGGCGGGGGAGGAGATAGACCTGCACAGGAAGAGATTTCAACTTGGTGAGTTTGCCCTCTGGAAAATACCTTCGGGCGCCTGAGGAGCGCCCCCACCCCCCAGCCCCCCACCCCCACCCCCGCCCCCAGCCTCCTCTCCCACCCTTTACCTCGTAGGTGCTGGTGATTCCCAGTTTATAGAACACCGGGAGGAAGACTTCGGCGCTGATCACCACCACAAGGAAGTAGGTGATGGCAAAGAGGCTGAATATGGCCCCAAATCGGTAGACCTCGGTGGGGGTGCCCAGGACAGTGACGGCAGACATGAAGCTGGCGGTGAGGGACAGCGCCACAGGCACGGCGCTCATCCTGCGGCCGCCCATCAGAAAGTCCTTGGAGGTCTGCTGTTTGTCCCCGGCGAAGGCGTAATAGATGCCGATGGCGGCCGAGATGAGCAGCATCCCGGCGAACACCACGTAGTCCCACACCACGAAGGTGCCGATAGCTCGCGACCCGTCCATGGCCGCGCGGTCGCTGGGGCCCTGCGCGCAAACTGGCGACTCCACGGAGCACGGCCTGAGCTGTCCTTCCCTGGGCCGCCTGGCGCTCGCTTCTTATTTCTCCGCGCCGCAGACGTGGAGGGCGTGGCGCCCTGGGGAAACTGGAGGCGCCCTCCGGGTGTCCTGCCAGCCTCGACAGTCCGACCGAGTGGGTAAGGGGATCCGCGCCGGCAGCAGCCTCTGCACACACCGCAGCGCTCGACTTGGGACTTCGGGGACCGCCCCCTCAGGGCGAGCGAAGTGCTCCCCGGGTGCCAGGCCAGGGTGGGCCGATCTCCCAGACGCCGCGCCGGGGACACCTGGTCAGGTGAAAACGAGCCTGCAGCCAAGTCTGACGAAAGCACAGGGAGCGCTCGGCACAAATTTTTATCAACTGCACCCAAGCAGGTGCACTGCTTAAATGAGCCGGCAACTGATGCGGGAGTGTGGGTCGAAGGGCAGCTGTCAAGCCTTTACTTTTAGCTTTCCAGTTCAAAAGTCCGGGTCCTTCTTTCTGAGAAGACACGCCAGGGACCTTTTGATTGCCTTATTTATAAATGAATGGACGATTGGCATAACAGTATATGCACCCAGCTGAGGCGCCAGTCCTTAGGCAGGTAAGCGATTACAAAGGAGAGGAGGAAATTTGTGCTACTGGCGGCCTGCGTTTTCATTCAATAAATATGTTTGATGCCAAGCAGTCTCCAAAGAAACTATAGTCGTTGTACCATTAATACTACCAACTATTTAATGAGCCTTACCATGTGACATACAACATGCTTGACACCCTTATACATCAGCTAGTGTGATTCTTACTATTTAGCCTTGAGACAGGGATCATCTCCATTTTTCAAATGAGGAAACTGGCTTAGAAAGATTAAATCACTTGCCCAAGAAAATGGTGGCGATTAAGATGTTTAATCTAGGTCTGATTTCATTATTTGTTCTCTTAATCACAGGCTATACTTGTAGAGTCCAAATGTAGATACAAGTTAAATGAGGGGATAAACGTACACTTAAATGAAGATACTTGAAAGCACATGGAAGACAAGATCATTTCCAGTACCTGTACTCAGGATATATCTTAAGTGGCTTATCTTGAAATACTACTAACAACGCATGAGTCACATCTGTAACGCAATGTGATTCGCAGGCTTTTCTTCTAAAATAGACCATCCAGCCCAACGTGCCCAGGCATAGGTCTGTTTCAGGCCATCCTTGTTCATTTTCATACATCTGTATAAATGACTAGCTGGTCTTGGAAAATAGTCCTCAGAATGCATTTAGCCCAGCCCAGTATGAGAATAAAGCTTTTTTTTTTTTTTTTTTTTTTTTTGAAACTTGGCAGTATATGCATAACATTTTCACAAGGAAATAAAGAAGGAAATGGAAGTTAAATCTAAGTAATACAATTATTTGAATAAATATGCTATGTGCGTGTGTGTGAGTTTATATATTAAAAACTCGCCCTGGCCAGTTTGGCTCAGTGGTTAGAGCATCAGCCTGCAGTCCAGAGAGACCTGGGTTCGGTTCCTGCTGGGGGCACGTACCTCGGTTGCAGTTTGTCCCCGGCCCTGGTTGGGTCGTGTGGGTGGCAACCACTCGATGTGTCCCTTTCACATCGATGTCTCTCTCTCTCTCTCTCTCTCTCTCTCTCCCTCCCACTCTATCTGAACAAAATATGGAGGGATGTCCTCGGGTGAGGATTAAATAAATAAATAAATAAAATAAAAACTCATTTTCTTTAGATATGTAGAATTAAGAACGGAATCTCAGGCAGCTAATGACCAATTTATCTTTGTAGTCATGTTAAAGGCAGAATGGCTTGATGTTAAACTCTAGACTCTGACACCTGACTTCCTGATTTTGCTATCTACTAGGCACTATATCTTGGGCAAGTACTTCTATGTTTTACTTTGCCACATCTAAAATGGGGATAATAATTGTTTTCTTGCCCAGCCGGTGTGGCTCAGTGGTTGAGTGTCGACCCATGCACCGAGAAGTCACAGGTGCGATTTCTGGTCAGGGCACATGCCCAGGTTGTGGACCAAATCCCCAGTGTGGGCATGCAGGAGGCGGCCAATCGATGTTCTCGCTCATCGATGTTTTTTGTTTTTTGGTTTTTTTATCCTCACCTGAGGACATTTTTCTATTTTTTGTTCCGGCAGAGTGGGAGGGGGAGAGAGGAAGAGAGAGAGAAACATCGATGTGAAAGGGACACATCGAGTGGCTGCCTCCCGCATGACCAACCAGGGCCGGGGACAAACTGCAACCGAGATACATGCCCTTAGCGGGAACCAAACCCGGGTCTCTTGGGACTGCAGGCCGACGCTCTAACCGCTGAGCCAAACCGGCCAGGGCTCATCGATGTTTTTATCTCTCTCTCTCCCTCTCTCTCTAAAAATCAATAAAGAAAAAAATTTTTTGTAATGACCCTTGCCTAGGCGGTGTGGCTTAGTGAATTGAGAGTCATCCCATGGACTGAGAGGTCACAATTGGATTCCTACTCAGGACACATGCCTGGGTTATGGGCTCGATCCCCAGTAGGGGGCGTGCAGGAGGCAGCCAATCAATGTTTCTCACACCAATGTGTCTCTCTTTCTCCCTTCCCTTCTCTCTAAAAATTCAATAAAAACATTTTCTTAAAAAAAATTTTATAAGGAAACCTTTTTGAAAAAAATTGACCCATTTTCTTAGTTATTTTTCCTTGATTAATAATATTCACATAATGCCATGAACGATATATAATCTATACCCTGGTCTCCTTTCAGATCTTTCAAATGTCTATATATGTTTTCATATAATGTTTTCAAAAAGAATACATGAATTCTCTATTTTCTGAGTCTTTGAATATATGAGGTTGTTTATCTGTTGTTTTCACACGTGAGAAGAAAATTCAGCTGAGAAAACCTTAGGTACTAATCTTTTTTATTCAAAATTTGTAGATATTTTTCTATTGTCTTTTAAAGAAATGTTATAGATGACATTCAATATTATATTAGTTTCAGGTGTACAGCACAGTGGTCAAACATATATATAACTTAGGAAGTGATCACTTGATATATCTAAGCACTCACCTGACATCACACTGATTACAATATCAATGACTATCTACCTTATGCTATACTTTACATGCCCATGACTTCCAATTTTACTTCTTAATCCCATCATCTTTTTCACCCAGCCCCTCAACCCCCCCTCCCATCTGGCAACTATCAGTTTGTTCTCTGTATCTATGAGTTTGTTTCTATTTTTTTGTTGTTGTTCATTTACTTTGTTTTTTAAGTTCCACATATAAGTGAAATGTATGGCATTTGTCTTTCTCTGTCTGACTTTTTCACTTAGCATAATACCCTCCAGGTCCATCCATGTTATTGCAAATGGCAAGATTTCATTCCTTTTTTATGGCCCAAGTAATATTCCATTGTATATATGTACCACATCTTTATTCATTTATCAATGGACACTTAGGTTGCCTTCATATTTGGGGTCTTGCAAATAATGTTACAATGAACATAGGGATGCATCTGTCCTTTCAAATTAGTGTTTTGAATTTCTTCAAATATCCAGAAGTAAGATTTCTGGGTCATAATTTTTGGGGAACCTTCATAGTGTTTTTCATAGTGGCTGCATCAATGTCACTAATAGTGCATGAGGGCTCCCTTTCCTCCGCATCCTTGCCAAAACTTGTTTGCTAATGTATTGATGATGGCCATTCTGACAGGTGTGAGGGGGTATCTCGGTGTGGTTTTAGTTTGCATTTCTCTGATGATTAGTGAAGTTGAGTATCTTTTCATATGTCTATTGGCCATCTGTATGTCCTCTTTGGAGAAATGTATGTTCAGGTCTTCTGCTCATCTTTTAACAAAATTGTTGTTATTGTTTTTGTTTTTGTTTTGTGGATAAGTGGTACGAGTTCCTTATATATTTTGGATATTAACCCCTTATCGGATATATCATTGGTGAATATACTCTCAAATTCAGTAGGTTGTCTTTCATTTTGTTGCTGGTTTCCTTTGCTGTGCAAAAGCTCTTAGTTTGATGCAGTCCCACTTGATTGTTTTTCCTTTTGTGTCCCTTGCTCTAGGAGGAATATCCAAAAACTTACTACTTAGAGCAGTGTCAAAGAATTTACTGCTCATCTTTTCTTCTAGGAGTTTTATGGTTTCAGGTCTTACATTTAAGGGTTTTTTGTTGTTGTTGTTGTTGTTGTTTATCATCCTCACCCGAGGACATTCTTCCATTTTTTGTTCAGATAGAGTGGAAAGGAGAGAGAGGAAGAGAGAGAGAGAGAAACATCGACATGAAAGGGACACATCGAGTGGCTGCCTCCCACAGGGCCCAACCAGGGCCGGGGACAAACTGCAACTGAAGTACATGCCCTTAGCGGGAACCGAACCCGGGTCTCTCTGGACCGCAGGCCGACGTTCTAACCGCTGAGCCAAACCGGTCAGGGCACATTTAAGTTTTTAATCTACTTTGAATTTATTCTTGTATATGTTATAAGAAAGTGGTCTAGTGTCATTTTTTTTTTTTTTTTGCAGGCATCCTCCCAGTTTTCCCAACATCATTTATTGAAGAGACTACCTTTCTACCATTGTATAGTCTTGCCTCCTTGTCATAGATTAATTATCCAGAGAGGCATTGGCGTATTTCTGGGCTCTCTATTCTGCTTCACTGATCTATGTGTCTGTGTTTATGCCAGTGCCACTTTATTCTGTTCACCACCACACTCCTGGGGTCTAGAACAGCCTTGGTACATGATAGGTATTTTTTAAAATCTTGATGAATATATGAACAGACAAAAGAAAATATTATTAGAAAGTCCTCTTAAATAAGTTGACTCAGTCCTAGTTTCTAATGCTACAAATTTCCTTTTTTTTCTGTGTTTCCATAGGCATTTTGGAGAAAAAAAAAAATGAGAAAAACCTCATCAGGAAGTATTTTCTATTTTAAAGCTGCATTTACACGTAAAGCAATTT